ATAATTTTTCACACAAACAAGGCCACTCGCTACACGACAGACTTCAGTTCTTGTCCTTATCATCGCCACATAAGCAGGGACAATTTCGACATTTCTCACGTACATGGCAATTGCCTTCTTGGAGGCACAACACTGGAAATTGCTCAGGGAACAAGAGCACTATTTTTTATTATTGTTGTTAAATCTTATCTTATAAGAGATGATATAATATAATTAAATAACTGAATAAATAAAATAATAATGCTTTGTCACATTTATTTAAAATGCATGATGGTCTTCATGTAATGGCAGCAATTTTTGTCGGTGTATTTTGTTAAAATAATTTTTTTTTTTTTTTTTGGTACAAAGTTAAAATAATCTTTCATTACCCTCCAACATATATGCAACGATATTATTATTATTATTATTATTATTATTATTATTATTATTATTATTATTATTATTATTATTATTATCCATGATCAGGTCATCTAATGGAGAAAACTTAGAAATAAGAAGGAATCTTAGAGGAATTAAATCCTTCACATTGGTAGAACCACGTGGCACCACCTCACTCCTCATACACCTCTGACAGCTCTCATAACTGAGACAGCTCACACGTTCGCTATCTTTGAGCTCACACGCCTGACTTAGACTCTAAGGTATCTTCTCCCTATAAAAATGACTGAAGTATGTCTAAAATCACATTACATTATCTATTATACTAAGTATTTTCTAGAGAGTTCTTCTCTCTGCATGTTATCTTCTACACTTATTTATTTAAGAATCGGAGGCTCTTCACTGGAGATCCTCTCAGGTGTGAGAGTTTTGTAGGCTCGAGGAACGGGTGATTCGTTCGAGTACAGGTGCTCTCAGCTCGTTTCAACCGGTCGAAGGTCTTTTCGATACCACTTGCCTTCTTCTCATTCTCTACAAACAAGAGCACAAATTACTCCGCCTGGTAAACCTCATTCCATACACAATTTTTTTATCAATTGATCAACTTTCTCATTCTCACACGTATTTTATATCTTCTATTTCCCAAATTACTTAACCCAAAAGATATAAACATGCTTTCAAAGGTCCTATGTGGCAAGAAGCTATGCGAAATGAAATCAATGTTTTACAAAGACAAATACTTGGGTAGTGACAGATGTGTGGGGGATTGACCGAATAGTAGAAATTCAAATCAAATAAGAAAATCTATTCGGATTCGTGCTTGTGAAGTGGGAGAAATCAGAGACGAACCGAACATGAGAGACAGACGGGTGGATGCAGGGTAAAGTGTTCGATTGGTACTAATCATTGCAATGGATCGCCTGTACAATATGCATAATGGTGACAGGGCTCAAGGATCACAGATCCAATGGCGCAAAATAAAAAAGGACACGTGTTGCAAGCTAAATTCTTTATCTTTCTTGAGATCAGATTATGTAGTACTAAGGATTTAATGTGGTGTGAGTGTATGGCATAGAATCTTTCGAATATCTCTTCATAGATGTAAATAAAAATCCCAATGAGGATTAAAACAAGACCTCAATTTTCCTATAAAAGGAAGAAGAGACGACATTTAATGTAAGAGAATATTTCTATCTTAAATGATATATATTTGAAAGTCACAAATAAAATATCAATTCAGTCAACACTTCCAAACCAACACTATATTCGTGCAGACCGAATTGAGTACTTAGTTTAGAGTACAGTTCATTTGTTGTAGGTGACATTTTCATATATCAACAACATATTTGACAAAGATAAACATAGCACTGGTTATAAATGGTTTATATAATTAAGTGTAAACATGATGGTACTATAAAAAAATATATGCTAGATTGGTAGCTAAAGAATATACCCAAGAAGAGGGGATTGATTTTTTTATTATTTTTCTCCATTTGCTAAAATTACTAGTGTTAGATTACTTATTGCACTTGCATCCATTAAAAATTGACGCTTACACCAACTAGATGTTGATAATGCATTTTTCAAGGAGATTTAGATGATGAAGTCTATATAACTCCTCAATCTTGTTACTACGTTGATAATAAAGTTTGTAAGCTTACAAAAAGCTTATATTGCCGAAAACGGGCTTCAAGACAGTGGTTCTAAAAATTAACTTCTTGTTTGCTTGAGTATGATTTTTGTCAATCTAATTCAAATTGTTCATTATTCACTAAGTCTACTGCATCTTTATTTATCGCTTTATTAGTCTATGTAGATGATATAGTATTAACTGGTACAACTACAAATGAACGAATCCCAGATCGCGTTCAGTGGGCCTCCAAGTTAAAAAATGGCCACCCGAAACTGGCCTTACTCAGGCTCGTGCTGGGTCGGTGACCCAGCGAGCCGAGCTAGGCCTGACTCGAGTTCGGGATCCGTCCCAAAAAAGTTAAAATTTAAAAATAAAAGAAACACACCTATGGATAATACATTAAAATTAACTTGCAACTCATCTTCACCACTGGTCGATGCAACTATGTATAAAAGGCTGGTAGATAGGTTATTGTATTTAACTATAACTAGGACTGACATTTCATTTAGTGTGCAATGCTTGAGTCGATTCTTGTCACAGCCAAATCAAGATCACCTCAATGAAGCTTATAAGATAATGAGGTATATTAAGGCAACAGTGGGCACATGTATACTCTAACTAAGATCTACTAAAATTCAGCTAAAGGCCTTTAGTACAGTGACTGGGCATGGTGTTTAGATACTAAAAAAGGCAAAACTGGGTATTTTGTGTCCTTGGGTGATTCTTTGATTTCATAGAAATCAGAGAAATAAAACAACACTAGCCGATCTTCTACAAAAGCAGAATATAGAGCCTTAGCCCCTAGGGCCCACTTTTATATATTTTTTTATATGTGTATACATATTAATTATATAATAGAATACCAAATACAAAATAAGTTTTAAATCTTAAATATTTTACACTTCACACAAGGTTTTTCATAATTTGTCCACTTGTCCACAAAATAAATAATAGCTATTATTAGTGAAATTAATAACTTTTTACTTATTTTTTTATTATTCTTTTAATGCGTTGTTAATTTTATGTCCTTGAATATACAAAACGTTGTCTTATGATTGCACAATTCAATTATGTTAGTTATCAATAAAAGAGTTACTGAAGTCAACTCATTTTCAGACGAGTTTCAATTTATATTTTTTATTTAATTTTATTTAATATAAAATAAAAACTAATACTTTTCAATAAAAAAATCTCTATAATTACAAATGAGTATTATGTACTCCACTAAACTTAAGTTATATATTTAAATAAAATAAAAGTTTGTAGCTTTTGACTGCTAATTTTTTTTTTTTTTTTTGGAATGAGAAAAAAATAAGTTCGATTCAAAGAAATTTCTTAAATTTAATTTAAAAAAAATAGCTATTCTTTTATTTTAAATTTTACTGCTTTTTCTTTTCGTCTGTGATTCTTAAGAAATTTCTCAAATTTATCTACAAAGATATAGCTATTTTTTTATAAATTTATTACGGTTCGTTATATTTTTTTATTAATTAAGAAAAAACAACAACAAAAGACAACATTTAGCACATTTCGGCCATAGCCAAATTCAGAATATGAAATTTTACAACATTGGTAACAATTATGAAATAAGTGTATTGTTAACACATTTGAGTTTTTAATCATTGGAGGATATAGACTATAGTTGTTAATTCAGAATATGAAATTTTACAACATTGGTAACAATTATTGAATAAGTGTATTGTTAACACATTTGAGTTTTTAATCATTGGAGGATATAGACTAGTTGTTTTTTGATTGAAAAGTTGATGGCTCAAACTCCCCCAAACACGTACATTAAAACGACAAAGACTTAAAGAAATGCAACAAGACTAGTATAGTAGCAGGTTTACAGGACAAGTGTCCTGTTCCAGGATTTCTGATCGCTCCACGTGGACGGTCAGATTTGCACCGAAGATATCTTCAAGCCGGAGAAGAAGAATAAGAAGTATGGGAGATGCTCAGTCCCGGTTGTAACCGTTAGATCGTCATGTAACCATCAAGAATAGTTGATCTAACGGTTACAAATTCGACGATTTATGATTTCGTAACGGGACCGTAGCTAAGTAAAATACAAAAAAGAATTGCAGGAAAAAAGAAAGAAAAAAGAACAGATGTAACTCAACTCAACTCAACTCAGGCTTAGCCAACCAGAGTTAAAAGAGCCAACCATGGTTAATCTCCCCTGGCTTCACAAAAACAATACTTCTCTATCTCTATCTCACTGTTGCTTTCAACTGTTGTGTTTTTCGTAAAGGGCCTTCAAAGTTCTTTTTTTTTTTCCTTTTTAATTTACATGAGATTCAAAAAGATCTCTCTTTTGTATGTTTTCTCTCTCTAGATACGTACAAAAAGTAGTAGTAGTACAATTGTACAAAACTACAAATAAAAATATAATCTTTTTAATTTTGAAAAAAAAAATAAAATAAAAAAGAGTTGATTTTGAGATTTTTCTTGTATAATAACAAAATAAAAGGCGCCGTCGTGTACGAACATGGGTTGCCTTGCTTTTATGGGGGCAGTTGTGGGCTACTGAGTTGAACCGGTGTCTCTCCGATTTTCTTGCTTAGTTCGAGAGACATTTTTTCTTTGAGGTTTTCAAGGTTCCATTTTTTTCCTCTCTCTAACTTTTTCTTGTAATTTTTGTTGGATTTTGCAACGTGCCCTTTTAGAATGATGAATAAAGAAACAATTTTTGAAGAGATTCGAGTAGATTTTTCCTCACTTTAAGGTTATGGGCTCAAAAGTCTTTGCTCTATCACAAAAACAAAAAAAAAAAAAAAGTTGTTGATTAAACCGAGGTGTGAGCTTGAGCTAAAGCTAAAGACTTTGTCTTTGATAGTCAGTCTTTTTCAGCTGAGTTGAAGCTTTGTATGAATAAAGTTTCAGTTCTTTTGTACTTACAAAATCTCTCGTTTTTAATTTGGAAAAAAAAAATTGAACAGCAGAACACAGTAACAGAGCTGATTCCCAGCATGCAAAAAGCTTAGCCATGGCGGAAACTCAGAGCTCATCGCCACCGTCAACGTCAAACCCAGCTTCCAGCAGTTTGGTCACCGTCGATGATCACAGAAATCAATCGAAACCCGATCACCGGCAGTCGGAAAATGCCTTGCCGGCCAAGAGAAAGCGGAATTTACCAGGAAATCCAGGTAAACCCAAAAATCAAAATGAAAGAAGAAGAAGAAATTAGATTCAATTTAGATTTCTTGATAAAACCCAGATGAAAAAATTTCCTCTTTTTTAATGAATAAATCAGATCCAGATGCAGAAGTAATTGCACTGTCGCCAAAAACCCTGCTGGCGACCAACAGATTCGTGTGCGAGATCTGCAACAAGGGGTTCCAGCGGGACCAGAACCTGCAGCTCCACCGGCGGGGCCACAACCTGCCGTGGAAGCTCCGGCAGAGGAGCGGCGGGGAGGCGGCGCGTAAGCGCGTGTACGTCTGCCCCGAGCCCACTTGCGCCCACCACGACCCCTCGCGCGCCCTCGGCGACCTCACCGGAATCAAGAAGCACTTCTGCCGGAAGCACGGCGAGAAGAGCTTCAAGTGCGAGCGGTGCTCCAAGACCTACGCCGTCCGCTCCGACTGGAAAGCCCACATGAAGACCTGCGGCACCCGCGAGTACCCCTGCGACTGCGGCACTTTGTTCTCCAGGTATTTTTTTTTTATTTTTTTTTTCAATTTCATTTTTTTTTCCCTAAACATATGTTGTCTGACAACGATGATGCCCAGACAATTCAATTAATTAGCTTTTACTTGTTCAATCAATTAATTTTATCTGTCTTTCTGATTGAAAGATTGAGCTTTTCTTGGGTAAAAATTTGATATTTTTTTTTTTCTTTTTTTTTTTCCAACTTACAGTCAATTAATAAGCTTTTTATGGTTCAACATTATTGCAACATCAGTAGGATTCCTATGTGGCTAAAAAACATGAAAGAAAGTGGAAAAGTGTGCTATGTTTTTCTGTTTCTTTTTTTTTTCTATGTGCATTTAATTGCTATGTTAGATGGGTGAGTAGGTAGGAGTGTTAATTGTCTGTTTGTTTTTATTATTACTAATGGAGGTGGATTTTGTACTACTGTTTTGGGGTTCTGAAAATTTTGAAGGAGGGACAGTTTCATTACACATAGAGCTTTCTGTGATGCTTTGGCTCAAAGCTCACTGTCTCGGCCACCACCGCCTCCGATCGCCGGAGGAGATTCGAAGGCTCCGGCGGAAGTTCCACCGGATGAGGCCGCCTCCAGTCCCCCACCGCCGCCTCTAACTCCGCAAACCGAGGTTTTATCTCCGGTTTTGTCTGTTCACAGCTCGGGTAAGTTAAATTTTTTTGTGTGTGTGCTTTTGTTGATTTAAATTTTGAATTTTTTTTTTTTTTTTGAAGGTGTTTTTTGTTTAGTTGGTGCATGTATTTATGAGGAAGTTTGCTGGAAAATGCCTAGATGAGTAGATGAGCTTTCAGATGCTTAAAAAAAATTGTGGTCTGTTTTTCTCTTTTTGGTCAATGTCGCCATAATATACCGCCTTTTCCATGTGGGATTTGATTGAGTATGTTCACATCATGTCCACATGAAAGAATTTTAATATACTTGTATATTCATCAATATCATAGCACTTCATTTTTACTTGTGTATACGAAGAATGTTTACATGTGGTGCATTAATATATAGGTAATACAATAGATAGGTGCATAAAAGACTTGTAAATGGAACTTGCCAAGAACCGCGCTTTACTCGTTTTTTGGTCCTAAAACTTCGATCTTGCGATATAGGTGTGGGTGGCGATCGGGTTGATTTTCTGGTCAACAATTTAGGTTTGCGGGTCGGGATGCAAAGCAAAACTGAGTTCTTTTTTTAGTACATGTACAATATTATAAATGCATTCATTATGTAGCTATGTGGTATTTGAAAGTTAAATAAGATTCCTTAAAATGAGTGTAAACTTATAAACTGATAGGGAAATGCTAGGTTCCCTTACGTAACCGTTTCGTCGGGGTTTGTAATGTTACAAACCTCGACGGAATGGTTCCATAACGGGACCGTAGCATCTCCTAAACTTGATATGTACCCCTTTTTTTTAAATTGATGAAAGGTTACTTTCAACATTGCTAGTTCAAGTATGTTGGGGTTCATGATTAAAATAAAAAGGCTTTTCTTTTCAAAAAGCCCTTTTATCAATAGTATGAACCCTTTTTTCCCCCAACCCCTTTTTCCCTTTACATGTGGTTAAATCTTTTTTCCCCCATACAGCAGCAGAATTGCCTGAAAATCAGCCGCCACCACCACAAGAACCGGCAGCTTTAACTACTTCAATAGCTCCGGCAATCACATCCGGCAGCTCTGGCGGCCCATTTTTCTCCACTGCACTAAACCCATCAACTTCCGAACCTCCCGAGCCTTCACAGGGCCCGGCATTCGGCTCAAGCCAGTTCTGCCCATTATCCGGCACATCCGGGCCCACGCCCGACCCAATTTCGCTGTCTCTGTCCCCGTCGTTCTACGGCCCATCCTCGTTTTTCCAGCCCACGACTCAAAACCATCATCACCCGATTCACCCGCACTATGTCTTGGGCCCGCAGCCTGCATTATCCGCAACAGCACTGCTCCAAAAGGCGGCCCAGATGGGCTCCAAGTCATCTGGCTCCTCGTTCCTCCGCGGGCTTGGGCTGGGCCCACCATCTCCTCCTGGCCCGCATCAGGGCACTAGTAAGATAGAGAGCAGCCTAATGGTGTCTGGACTCGGGCTTGGGCTAAACTCGGGCGGGTCGTCGGGCTTGAACGACTTGATGATGGGCTCGTCGATTTTCGGCGAAAGGCCTCCGACCCTCGACTTTCTTGGGTTGGGAATGGCAGGTGATGATCGGACCCAGCCCGTGGGTCTATCGACCTTTCTTGGCCCGGCGGGTAATATGGGTAATGATTCGTTTGGTGGCACGTGGGGTGATGAGTCGTCTGACCGGAAACCGAGCTTATAGCCTAGACTATTTTTTATATGAATGGTAGTGTTTTTTTTCTCTTTTTTTTTTTCTGAGAGTTATTCGAGCTAGAAACTGCGGCCTGATTGTCGGGTTCGATTGAACGAGGTCCTGTAGTTCACTGTGTTGGTGAGATTAATGTGCATAGGGACTCACTGTAATTTTGCTGCTGCTTTATTCAGTTGAAATTGAGTAAAATGAAATAATACTCGGTTGAAATTAATCTTAACACTAAACGATCTGCAACATAACACGACACGAAAAAATCACTAAATTGGCAGTCTACCCAATCGTGTCTGACATTATTGACACCGGATCAAAACTGTAACGAACCCGACTAATTTGCTCAGTAAAACTCACGCTCGTTCGGATGGGCTAATGGGGGAAGGCGAAGGCGCGGGATATTGAGGAGTCGAAGGGGAGTTATAAGCCGAGACCTCGCTCGGAGGCTCGAAGAAAATGTAGATGTGGGACCCGTCTCGAACCCCGTAAAACTCGAGAGGGGCTTCGTCTCTATCCATCCTCAAACGTCCTTGATCGGCATTATCGAGTATGAGGATTAGCCGATCGCTCGGGAGATTTTCTTGCGTGCCGATTATCCTCTTGAGGTCACGGATCGTTTCATCGTCTTCGACTCCCACGAAAAACAGCTTGCCAGTCAAGATTTCAGCCACAAGCTTCATCATCCTTTTAGATGATCAGTGAAAAGACTTATAAATAGTTTAATTTGCATGAGAGGTGTTTGTGTAGAGTAATTTTGCTTTAGGCTCTTGTTTGGTTTGTGATTTGTGTTTGGTGAGTCCTTTTTGTAACGTCTATTTTGAATAAGTTTGCAATTTTTTTGCTATATAAATGGGAGTGGTTATGTTTTGATTTTGAAGAAGTTGTGTGTGTCCTTGATATATGATATGGGAAATATATGATAAGAGTATGAGGATATGGCATATCTTGAGATTTTAATGAGATTGGTAAGACACCATATTAGCACAAATTTAATGATATTGGTAAAACACCATATTTTACACATTTACATAAGATTATGTGCTTGTATTATAAAATTATAAGTTTATTATGTTTCAAACTACATATGGAAGAGAGAATAAGAATCCTTTTCGAGAAGGGGAGAATACATAATTTTCTTATTCAAATTCAACTGCCTACAATAAAAGAGAAGGAATCTTTAAATAAGTTAATAAAATAAGAATTCTAATAAAATAATTAAATAAATAAGTTTCTTACCAAATTTAGAGTATCATTAATAATAATTAAAACAATAAAATAAATAATTAACTAAATCAATGATGTTAGACGATATCTCGTCATTTTTCTCTACAAAAATTTAATCTTACTATACATAACTGATATTATTTGTTCTCATTTATTTCATTTATTAAATGCCATGTTTTTATTTTATTTTAAAAGTTAATAATTTTTATCTATTTTTTATTTTTCAGATATGATTTATTAAATTAACCATTTTCCAGCGATCTTGAATTTGACATCTGCGTCACACATAATCATGTTTGGAAAGAATTAGAAAAAAAAAAAGTAAAATCAATATAGCAGAATTGTATAATATTTATGGTAAACATATATAATTTTATAAATATAATTGAAATATAATTTATTTTGGATAATCTAAGGTTAAAAATGTTTGTTTGGGGTAAATTGCGCCAAACCCCCCTGTATTATACGAAATCTGCGCATTACCCCCCTGTATTTTAAAAATTGCGCCATACCCCCTTCTATTATACTTCTGCTTGCGCGTTATCCCCTAAACCGTCTAACTTGACGGATGTGCATCTCACGCGCGTGTGGTGCGGCTTTTTCTCCATTTTTTCGCCATAAACTGAATGAAATGACTATTATGCCCCTTAATAGTTGAATTAAATTGAACTCTCTGTTCTTCAAATCTGATCGACGAGGGAGGAGCTCTTCCAATTGAAGTAGAAAAAAAAAATCGCTTTCGCAATCCAAATCTGTGAGGTAAGCT